GAAACTTAAACATGCATTTTTGACTACCCAGAGAGAAATAAATACATACTACAAAATCTTAATTCTTAGCAATGATGTCAGGAATACCTCTGCTTCTAAACTGCCATTATTTGTATTAAATTTCTGGAAGTCAAAGCATAAAATGTCATGTTTAAGTCTGATACAAATAAAAGTAATAGACAGTTCCCTTCATTTACTTATCAAGAAATCTTTAACTGTCACAACTATACTTTTTTTTTCATTTTCTTTAACATACATTGTGTGAACTATGTGAGCCTACATAAAGTTTGCCATACCAGCATGTTATAGGAAAAATTAATCCAATCTATAGTACTTTAAGGCTTATGTATACAAGGGACAAGTAGAAAGAAAATTGATCTACAAATTCATAAAAAAATAACACTACCATATGGATAGCAAGTTATGTTTTATGTATTTTAACCTATATATAATCATAGAATTTAAGAAAGGTACCTCACCCTACTAGGAATCCGATTTGGGGAGGGACACCTCTTAAAAACTATATTGTCTGCATGTATTCACACATCCTGCTGTTTACAACTGCCATGGTATCTATACTATTAAAATAACTCCAAATGTCAATTTTTACCAATTTGTGACACACATGCTGTTTCTTCTCTAACTACAAGTAATTGAAATATGATATTTACACGTAGAACTCTAGGATCTAATAATACAAGGCTATTAATAACCAAAACAGTACCTGAAGTCTTAGTGTCTTCAGGTGTTGATTCATCACCAGGACTTGGCGGAGGTCCTGGGAAAAAAAAAAAATGGAAATAAGTTAAAAAAAAAAAAGAGAGAGAGAAAAATAAAGTTTAAAGACTTCTAAATTCATAGGTTTTGATTTTTCACCTTTGTATAAAAATCCTTGTAATTCCCTTTTCCTTATATAAATCAATGTTTCCCATTAAAGGTAGCATCATAATATATAATAAATTTGTATGTGATCAGCATTCTTCTTGTTACTTCCTGTGACAAGGCAGCTGTATCATAAGTGTATTGTTAAAATTATGGATTTAATTAAAATTCTGGATTCAATGTGGGGCGCCTGGGTGGCTCAGATGGTTAAGCGTCTGCCTTCGGCTCAGGTCATGGTCCTGGGGTCCTGGGATCGAGTCCCACATCGGGCTCCCTGCTCCTTGGGAGCCTGCTTCTCCCTCTGCTTCTCTCTCTCTCTCTCCCCATTTGTCGCTCATGAATAAATAAAAAAAATCTTAAAAAAATAAAATAAAATAAAAAAATAAAATTACGGATTCAGTGTGATTCTACTCAGAAGTAAAAGTTTGGGGGGCCTAATAAACTATTTAGATATTGATTGCAATAGAAGGAAACATCAACATGATGAAGGCCATTTATGAAAAGGCCATCACTTGCATCATACTCAATAGTCAAAGACTGAAAAGTTTTTCACTTAAGATCAGGAACAAGACAAGATACCTGTGTCTTCCACTTCTATTCGACATAGTATTAGAAGTTCTAGTCAGAGCAATCAGGCAAGAAAAAAAAAAAAGGATCCAAATTGGGAAGGAAGAAATAAAATGATCCCTATTCCAGATGACATGCATAACCTTTACATAGAAAACTCTAAGGATCACACACATCCCTCTTAGAATAAATGAATTCAGCATAGCTGCAGGGCACAAAATCAACACACAAAAATCAGTTGTATTTCTATACACTAACAATGAATAAACCAAAAAGGAAATTAAGAAAACAATCCCATTTATAATAGCATCAAAAACAAACAAAAAATAGGAATAAAACAACCAAGAAGGTGAAAAACTCATACACCGAAAACTACAAAACGTAGCTGAAACAAACTGAAGACATAAATAAATGGAAAGACATCCCATGATCATGAATTAGAAGACTTAATATTATTAAAATGTTAATACTACACAAAGCAATCTACAGATTGAATGCAACCCCTATCACCATCTCGAATATGCACTGTTGCGGAAACAGGAAAAAAAAACTAACTATAATTCATATGGCATCTCAAGGGACTAAAAATAGCCAAGATAATTTCGAAAAAGAAGAGCAAAGTTGGGGGGACTCACGCTTCCTGATTTTAAAACTTACTACTACAAAGCTACAATAATCAGAATAGAGAGGTACTGGCACAAAGACAGACACACAGACCAATGGAACAGAATAGAGAACTCAAAATAAACCCTTATGGGGGGCCTGGGTGGCTGAGCTTTCAGCTCAGGTCATGATCCCAGAGTCCTGGGATCGAGCCCCATATCAGGCTCCCTGTTTGGTGGGAAGCCTGCTTTTCCCTCTCCCACTCCCCCTGCTTGTGTTCCTGCTCTTGCTCTCTGTCAATAAATAAAATCTTAAAAAAAAAAAAAAGATTCAAAGTGAGATGATGAAAACATTTTGGACATACAGATAATTGTGATGGTTGCAAACAATGCAAATGTACTTCATGCCACTGAAATGTACATTTAAAATGGTTAAAATGGTAATATAAGTTTATTTAGAGAAATGAACACACAAGGGCACCTGGGTGACTCAGCCGATTAAGCATCTTACTCTTGATTTTGGCTCAGGTCATGATCTCAGGATGGTGAGATGGAGCCCCACGCTGGGCTCTGTGCTCAGTGGGAAGTCTGCTTATTCCTCTCCCTCTGCTACTCCCCCTACTCAGTCTCTCTCTCTCAAATAAATGAATAAAGTCTTGAAAAAAATTAACATACAGAAGTCTAAGCAAAACATATCATACTATACTATGTAAAAAATTAGTACTGTAAGTAAAAAAAAAAACGATTTGGTGCTGGCACAGGAATGCAGAGCTCCAGGGTACAGGAGAATGACCAGAACACCCATGAATTTAATATAACAAAAATTGGTACTTGAAATTGTTGGAGAGAGGACAACTTATTCAACAGATGTTCCTACTTTGCCACTGGGTGGGGTGGGGGTGGGTGGGGTGGAGAGGAACCCTGTCTCACTCCATATACCACAGTGAATTTCAGATGCAACAGCAACTTAAATGCAAAGAATGCAATCAGATGCATGGTTGAAATGATTTTATGTTTCAGCATGGGGAAAACCTAAAGCCTTTATAAAAAAGACAAAACACACATAGTCATTAGGGAAAAGATCAATACACTCAACTACCTGTTAATATAAAACCTCTACACATATAAAAGGCCCCTAATGGGAGAACAGTTTATATAAACTGTGGCATATCTTTTTTTTAAAGATTTTATTTTATTTATTATTTGAGAGACAGAGAGAGCGAGCACAAGCAGGGTGAGGGGCAGAGGGAGAAGCAGACTCCCGGATGAGCAGGGAGCCCAATGTGGGGCTTGATCCCGGGACTCCAGGATCATGACCTGAGCTGAAGGCAGACACTTAATTGACTGAGCCACCCACGTGCCCCCAAACTGCGGCATATCGTAAAGTCACCATTCAAAAGGATGGGATATAATAAATCTGAATATAACCCTAATCCAGGAAGTGGGAAAAGTGCAAGTTTCAGAAAAATATGAATAGCATGATGCCATTTTTATTCAAGAATGAAGAAAATGAACACCAAAATATGTATAACTACACAGAAAATGATGCTTATGTACAGAAATAAATAAAAAAAAGACACCCTAAACTATTAAGTGATTAACTCAGGTAATGGACTAGAGAAAGAGAGTTAAGAACCCATCTTTTATCCTATATACTTTTATAATGTTTGAAATTTTATAAACATATTCATATACTTATATATTAAAATTATAAAAAGCAATCTATATCCAATAGTATAAAAATCTTAAAAGAAATCTGACTAGTAAAATTAAGGCAAAGAAAAAAACCTAGAAAAAACTATTCACTTCATGTTAACAGAGCTTTCATTTATAATGAGTTCTGACAAATCAACAAGAAAAATATTGTAGAAACCTAATAGAAAAATGAGCAAAGGGCATGAATAAAGTAGACCAAAAAAAGTTCAGCTTCACTGATAATTAAGGAAATGCAAATAAATATATGACATCATTTTTAACCCATCACCTTATAAAGCTTTTTTTTTTTCCCGAAGATTTATTCATTTGACAGAGAGAGAGAGAGAGAGAGAATATGGGCACAACCAGGTGGAGTGGCAGACTCCCGCTGAGCAGGAAGCTGGACACGGCTCAATCCCAAAGACCCTAGGATCACCACCTGAGATCACCACCTGCGCAGAAGGCAGATGCCCAACTGAGTGAGCCACCAGGGGGCCCAGTCTTAATAAAAGTAGGATGAAGAGTTGCTGAACCTGGATGACTTGAACTCGGAGGCATAGTCGAATGAGGAATCTTGGATTCTGAAAAAATTTGTTTAAATTCACGAACTTTATCAGTACAAAATTATGGATTTAATTTTGATTTTAAAAAGATTATTTCTCAAAGGTACTAAACCTGAGACACTCGAAATTGGAGGTTTTGTACTGGGAGGAGTCGACACTGGAAAACAAAATAATGTAGATGTATCAAATGATTGAGAGTTACTTACCTTTTCAACTTTGTAATTCTATTTCTGGGAATTTAAGCTAAATATCTATTTGCACAAGTACATCAGAATGTATGCATAACAATGTTCGCCATAGCTTTGTATTTTAAAATGGAAATCCCAGAAGCTAATTGACAATAAATCACACAAATCATGGAGTTCAGAGATAGCAACTCTGAAATCTGGAAGATAGTTCCTTCCAACCATAGCAAAATAATCTTTCCGTTCTTAAGCAGAGTAGCTTACCAGCAGAACTGGCAAGAAATCCTCCATTTCATTTCAATGCATAAGAACTACTCCTGTCTTTCAGTGGCTATGCAATCTATTTTCTATTGCTAAATAAAAATGCCCAGTAAAAAGAAAAGAATAAATGTATGAGACAAGGAGTTTGGTGGGGGTGCGGAATGGAAATATAGGTCTTATTCTGGAGATAGCAGAAATGTCCCACCTTAAACTGTGCTACAAAAACAAAACAAAACAAAACCAACACCACCACAACCACCACCACTACGAACACCAACACCAATACCAACACCACTACCAACACCAACACCTACACCACTACCAACGCCAACACCACTGCCAACACCACTACCAACACCAACACCACTACCAACACCAACACCACTACCAACACCAACACCAAAAACCAAACTAAACTGGTTGCAGTCCAGCAACTGAAACACAGTCATGGACTAGAAAGACACCCTTAAGGAGCCAAGAGATCACTTTTACAAGGAATAAAACAGCAAAGTAAAAGATACACAAAACATATACATTAAAAACAGAAGACAAGGCCCTTCCTCTTTGCTAATATTCATTCGAGTGATGTTATATGAGCTACCTTGAGGAGCTTGCCATATTCAAGGCACTGTGCTGTTTTAAATGAATCCCATGAAAAGTTTACCATCACTCACTGGGGAAGGCATTAAAATCATTTCACAAATACATACATATTTAAAGTGTCCATAACTTGCCCACGTTTACATACCTGTTGCTATCTGTATGCTATGGCAAATAGTTTTAGAATCGTTAACTTAAAAATGACTATCAGGATGTTCTTCCTCCTTTCATTACTGAACATGATGAATGCGTGTAAAACATTAGAGATTTAGATGATTTTGAAAAATATAAGTAGGAAGGTACTAAACCTGAGGCACTCGAAATTGGAGGTTTTGTACTGGGAGGAGTCGACACTGGAAAACAAAATAATGTAGATGTATCAAATGATTGAGAGTTATTGCTGGCATGTGCAGCAGGAATTTAAAAGATTTTCGGAAAATACAAGCAGAAAGTTACTAAACCTGTGTGATTCAAAACCGGAGGACTGGTACTAAGAGGAATCAGCACTGGAAAAGAAAAAAAAAAAATGTAGAGTGGATCGGCCACCTGGGAATTAATGCTTTCTTTTCATTTATATGAAGGAAGCCTTCCATTCCTGGCTTATTTAGGTAAAAATTCCCATGCTTCAATTTTCTGAAAAATGGCTGCTGTTCATTTTTGCACATAAAGCCAAACAAGAGAAATTTATGTACCTCTGTGACATACCTAACATGCAAAGACCCTATGAAAACATACAAAATTACAACAGCAGAATTCTTTGGTGAATTGTCACACATCTGTCATGGAAATGAATACAAGACAGAGTTAAATACTTAAATTGCTTCTATTCAACTATTTGGCATCACCTCCATTTAATGGTGAAGAAACAAAATTAAAAAAAAAAAAAAAGACAAGAAGGAAAATGATACCCGTTGTACCTTTAAGACACACTGGCTTTGCCGGTTCCCAAGTACTGTTACTGCCACAGACAGCTCTGTTGCTGCCCTCATGGTAAAAACCCGGTAAGCATTCAAATTCGACTGTTGCTCTGTAGTAATATTTTCTTCCAAATCCTGATATCAGTTTTCCATTTTCAGGGTCTGGAAGTGGACATCTGACAACTGAAACGTAAAGAAAGTCCAGAATTAATGGAAAGTTGCTCTAACATAGGAGCAGAAAAAATATACAAGCTAATAATTCCCAGCAGGAAGAAACATACAAGGAATGAAAGGCAAGGTATTAAATAAAAGAAAGAAAAAAAAAAAAGACACCCAAGAAACCTGCATACGTATGTACATTTTAACTCCAGGGAAACGGATTTAGAGAAATCTAATAACTTTTTTCCATCTAGAAAAGACTAGCATTATAGTTTATTGGCTTTCCTACATTTTTTCCCATTACTGACAAGGTTTGAAAAAGGCCTGACTGCCACATACAAATCCGGGGTAAGTTCAAGAGCAACTTTCGATCCTCCTTTGCTCTAGGGACTTTCTGAAGGTCATGTTGACACTGACTGCATACCCTGCTTTTCTAGAAAGGCGGGAAACACCCTTCTGAGCAGGCAATACTTGAGCTCAAATTTACAAGTTGAAAAGCAGGTAGCCATGCAAAGATAGGCAAAAAGGAAGTGCTCAGGTAGCAACAACATACACAAACCAGGAGGTTCAAGAAATGGAAAGGCCTGCAACCCAGAGCTCAGACAACACATTTTACCCTGTAAACCAGTACATGAGCACACAGGCCTAAAATACAAGTTAGCGCATACCAGCGGGCTCTGCTATTTCCCATTCCACTCTACCTCTGAAGAGGTAAACTACTAGTCATGACCTGATAGGACTGAGTTCAGAATCGATTAATGGGCTTGGGAGAATTTGGAAACAAAGACAAAAACCACAGGGCTGGGCAGTGAGTACAACAGAACATCTTAGGACATTAAATCTGAGCAAGAGAGAAGGGCCAGAGAGTGGACAGCCTTTTCAACCAGAGGACTGTTCTTCCCCTGTTCCCAGGGATTCTGACTTTCCCGCAGCCTGAGGAACTTCCGGTAGCAATTCCTACAGTGCAGGTCGGCTCGTGATTCCCTTGGCTTGGGTTTATCTCCAAATGTTTCATTTCCTCATCTTCAGCTTTGAAAGATTTCTCCTTGACGGAGAATTCTAGATTAAGTTTATCCAGCACACTAGCAGATACCGTCTTCCAGTCTCCACCGTTCCTCAGGACAAGTCATGTGTCACTCACACTGGGGGCGGGGACAGTGCGACAGGCGTTTATTCCCCCCTCTTCCCGACTGCTTTTCTTCGCACACCTTTTGTTTTCAGTAGTTTTACCCTGATGCGTTTAGTGTAGTGGGGGTTCCTGACTTTCTTGGTGCTGTGACGTTATCGTTTTGGGACAAATGTGGTTAATATTTGGCCAATATTTATTCAAATCGTTGTCCATCCTGTTCTTTCTCCTCTTTCTGAAGCTCCCACAGCGTGTATGCTTGACTTCTTGCTACTCTTCCACAGGTCTGTAAGTCTCTCTCTTTTTAATTATTTCTTTTCAAATCACATTGTCCTGACTTCAGGTTCCCTGAGTTTTGCACTGTTGTGCTAAGCTGCTGTTACCGGCAATGGCTTCTTCATGTTGGCTAGACACAACTTACCTACAGTAAACCTCACCCTTTCCAGTACCCAGCTGTATTAGGTCTGACAAATGCAAATAATCATGAAATTACCACAATAAAGACACAGACAAGTTCCATTACCCCCCAACATGTCCTCATGCCACTCTGGAATCAACCCTACCCACCCCCACAACCACCTTCACCAACCAGCCCAACACTGATTGCTTTTCTATCTCTATACAGCTGCTTTTCCAGAATGTCATAATGGGATCACTGCCTCTGAGTATGGCTTATTTCACTTAGCATAATGCCTTTGAGATTCCTTCCTGTTGCTGCATGGATTAGAGCTCACTCCTTTTTATTGCTGAGTAGTATTCCTGTACTGTATGGATGTACCCCTGTTTTTTTTAATCCATTTCACCAGTTGAAGGACAAGTCGGTTGTTCCCGGTCTGGGATGATTATAACTAAGGCAGCTGAATATTCTCACACTGGTTTCTATGCAAGCATGTTTTCATTTTACTTGGATTGATGAGCTGTATGTTAAGAGTATGCTTAATTTTATAAGAAATCACCAAACTGTGTTCCAAAAAGGTTTGATTCTTATAAAAAGTGTATGAAAATTGCAATTGCTCCACATCTTTACTAGTATATGATATTTTTAGCTTTTAGTTGTAGTTTTAATTTTTTAATTTCAGCCATTCTAAACAGATATCTAGTGGTATCTCACTGTGGTTTAAATTACATTTCGGGGCACCTGGGTGGCTCAGCCATCAAGCATCTGCCTTCGGCTCAGGTCATGATCCCAGGGTCCTGGGATCGAGTCCCGCATCGGGCTCCCTGCTCAGCAGGGAGCCTGCTTTTCCATCTCCCAATCCCCCTGCTTGTGTTCCTGTTCTCGCTGTCTCTCTCTCTGTCAAATAAATAAAATCTTTAAAATAAATAAATAAATAAATTACATTTCTGTAATTGCTAGTGATATTGAACAACTTCTCGTGTACTTTTTACCATCCATGTATCTTGTTTGATGAAACAGTTGTATTCAATATTTTGCCCATTTAAAAAAACTGGGCTGTTTTCTTATTATTGCAGGGTTTTTTGTGTTTGTTTTTTTTTAAGACTTTACTTATTTATTTGCCAGAGAGATACATAGAAAGAGAGAGAGTACAAGCAGGGGGAATGGCAGGCAGAGGGAGATGCAGGCTTCCGGCTGAGCAAGGAACCTGATGTGGGACTTGATCACAGGACCCTGGGATCATGACCTGACCTGAAGGCAGATGCTTAACTGACTGAGCCACCCAAATGTCCCTTATCATTGCATTTTAAGAGTTCTTTACATGTTGTACATATAAATCCATTATCAGGTATGAGTTTTGCAAATATTTTCTCTCCAGTCCATGGCTCATTTTTAAAAATTCTTTAAACAGTGTCTTGTGAGAGCAGACGTACTGAACTTTTAAAAAGTCTATTTCATTAATTTTTTTCTTCTTTAAAGGATCATGCTTTTACAGTTGTATTTAAATCTCGGGCTAGGTCACAAACATTTTCTATGTTTTCTAGTAAAACTTCTATAGTTTTAGGTTTTATGTTTAAGCCTATTATCCATTTTGAGTAAACATTTGTATCTTATACTAACATGAATTCAGGATTCTTTTTGGTATTTTTGAATATGCATGTCTAATTATGCCTGTACTTTCATCAGTTTTCCACAGACCTGTTTGTAAACTGTGATACGATCAACTAGACACATCTGGAAGGGTTTCTTTCTGGACTCTGTATTCTATTCCATTGCTCCTTAAGGCTACCCTTTCAACAACACCACCCTGTCTTGATTATATGCTTTATACTATGTTTTATAACTAAGTCCTTAAGCCAGGAAGAATGAGACTTCTAATTTTTTTCAAAAATGCTTTGAATATTTTGCTTTTGTCTTTTCATATTAATTTCATATTAAGCTTGTCAATTTATATAAAAAATTCTGCTGGGATTTCTGTTGGGATTGTGAACTTATAGATCAGTTATGGAGAACTGACCTTTATTATACTGAACGTTCTAATTCATGTGACTGAATTTCTATTTATTAAGATCTTCTTTCTTTCAGTAAGTGTTTTAGCTGTTTTTAGCCGTTCAAATCTGGCATGTTTGTTCAATTTATACACAAGTATTTATACAAGTGTGAAGTTGTACATGGTAGTTCAACACTTTGTTTCTAATGGTTTATTGCCAGTATGTAGATACACAGTTGATTTCTGTACATTGATCTTATGTCTTGCAACCTTGCTATAAAACTTGAGTCTTTCAAATCTTCTACCTAATCATCTCATAAGTGAGTACAGTATATTTTATTTCTTCCTTTCCAGTGTGTTCCTGTTTCTATCTCTTCCTGAATGCTGAATACAATACAGTGCTGAATACAGAGGTGACTCAGCAGACTTGTTCCTACCTTAGGGGGAAATAAACTAGTCTTTCATCATTAAATATAATGCTGGCTATGGCATTTTTATCAGGTTCAGAGAGTTTTGTTTGATTCCTACTTTGCTGAGAAATGTTACCGTGAAAAGCTGATGACTTGTCAAGTGCTTTTTTTTCTTAACATCTATTAAGATATCATGTGGGGTTTTTTTTCCCTTTTATATAGGATCTTGATAAGATAAATTATATTGACAAATTTTTGAATTTGAATCAACCTTGCATTCACGGAATAAATCTTACCTGATTATGGTGTATTCTTTTTCTTTTTTTAAAGATTTTATTTATTTATTTGACAGAGAGAGACAAAGCGAGAGAGGGAACATACGCAGGGTGAGTTGGAGGGAGAGCAGAAGCAGGCTTCCCGCCGAGCAGGGAGCCTGATGTGGGGCTCGATCCCAGGACCCTGGGACCATGACCTGAGCCGAAGGCAAATGCCCAATGACTGAACCACCCAGGCGCCCTGGTGTATTCTTATTTTTATATATGAGAGGATTTGATTTGTTAACATTTTGTTAAGAAGTTTTGGTTCCACATTCATTATGGATATTGTTTGTAATTTTTTTTGCGATGTTTCTGTTTGGTTTTAATATCAGGGTAATGCTGTCCTCACAAAATGAGCTGAAAAGTATTCCCTCTCTTGTGTTTTCTTGAAAAGTTTGTGCAGAGCTGTTATTATTCATTCCTTCATACTTGGTAGAATTCCCCAGTGAGGCCATAGGACCTAAACACCTTCTCTTTGTGAGAAGGTTTAAGTTGTCCAATTTATAGGCATAAAGTTGTTCCCTTATTATCTTTTAAATGTCTGCAAGATCTGTTAGTGATGTCCTCTTTTTCATTCTTAATATTGGCAATTTGTATTTTCTTTTTTCTTGTCAGTCTGGCTAAGGAGGTTTATTCTTTTTATTGATCTTTTCCAAGAAGCACAGGTTGGTTTCACTGGTTCTCTCCATTTTGTTCTATTTTGAATTCCATTCATTTCTACCTTTACTGTTTCCTTCTGTTCCCAGGTATTGAGTTTAATTTCTTCTCTTTTAGTTTCTTAAGGTGGAAGCTTGGATCATGGGTTTGAGACTTTTCTCTTTTTCTAATAGAAGTATTTCAGACTGTAAATATCTTTGAAAGCAATACTTCTGCTGTATCCCACAAATAGTGATATTTTGATATGTTGTATTTTCCATTTTTATTCAATTCAAAACACTTTCTAATTTTCCTTGTGACTTCTCCTTTGACTCACGGATTGATTAGAAGTATCTTGCATAATTTTCAAATATTTGGGGCTTTTATAGATCTCTTTGCTTTCTACATTCATTTCATTGTGATCTGGTATTATACTCTGCATGATTTCAATTTTTAAAAAAATTTTAAACCATCATATTGTGTAGAATATGGTATTAGAGAATGTTCCATGTGTACCTGAATGGAGTAAATAGTTTGCTGTCATTCAGTGGTTCTTTCTTCCAAGAGTCAAATCCCCTCCAGAGTCTCCTTGCTTTTGGCCACTCTCTAGAGCCTTACACATTATTTTTAAAATATGTTTTGTCCAGAGTTTACCATTCTTATTTGTGAAAGGGTTAGTCTTTCACAGTTTGCTCTACCAGTTCCTGTAGCTGGAACTCTCAGACTTCTTGTAATACATGATAAAACTTATTTTTAAGCCAGTGTATGCGGAGTCTTGAGGTTTCCAAAGAAAAAACTCCTAACTCATACATACACACAGGAGTTCAAAGTGTATTAATTAGAATACCAAGAGCAGGTAGGGTAAGGGCTGGGGAGTTCTATAAACAAAACTACTTTTGGGTCACTTGTACCTACAGTAAACTAAATTAGGGGCACCTGTGTGGCTCAGTTGGTTAAGCATCTGACTCTTGATTTTGGCTCAGGTTGTGATCTCATGGGCGGTGAGATTGAACCCTGCATCGGGTTCCCCGCTCAGTGGGGAGTCTGCTAGAGATTGTCTCTCCACCAAATAAATAAATAATCTTTAAAAAAATTAAATTAGAAACCAATTTAATGGGAGGAGCAAGCACATGTTGCTGTTTTGTTTACTTGTAGGTAAGTATTTACCAAGTGTTTCCAAAATATTTATAAACGAAGAAGGAAAGAAATGCAGTATTACCTTTACACTGAGGAGGGTCACTACTCCATACACCATCGCCAGAACAAATAAGCCTGCGCTCTCCAATAAGTGAATATTCGTCTGGTCCACTTGAAGAATCACAACTATAAGTTACCACTTCATTATATTCAAATTCATCCTTCTCACTACTGGTATGTTTTCCATTTGGTATTTCTCCAGGTGACTGACACATTATCTCTTAAAGTGAAAAAAAAAAAAAAACAAAGAGGACATGAAAGCAAAAGGAAAAGATTATGATAGCATTAGTGAAGTCCTAAGAACTGCCTTGAATAAATTCATTAATACATGATTTCTACAAGCCAGCCGTAACTCCAAAATCCATTTAGAAAAGTTTCTGTGAGAAAATATATTATCCCAAATTCAAACCAGTAACGTAGACGTGAGCTTTAATAAAACTCATTTTCTTAAATACCTGTGTAAGATACCCACATGAAATACCTATATTTATCTGGAAAGCCATTTTAAGTTCTCACTATAAGAGATGCGGACAATTTAGTGAGAAAATATGCTTGTGATTAAAAATAAAACTCCGTGCTGAGAAATGCTTTATAATTTATAAATACACTTGACAATTGAACAACAAAGGGGTTAGGAGAACTGATCCTCTGCACAGTTGAAACTTCCCATATATCTTTTGACTCTCCCAAAACTTAACTACTAATGGCTTACTATTGACTAGAAGCCTTACCAAGAACATAAAGAGATGATTAACATATATTCTGTGTATGTATTATATACTATATTCTTACAATAAAATACACTAGAGAAAAGAAAGTGTTATTAAGAAAATCACAAGGAAGAGAAAATACATTTATAGTACCGTACAGTTAAAGAACCATAAATAAGTGGACCCACACAGTTAAAACTTGTGTTGTTGAAAGGTCAACTGTATATCCATTCACTACATCGGTAGTTTACAGTACCAAGATACTACTGTCTGTTTCACTTCCATCCTAATTAGTCTACAGTGAAATTATCCAGATGCTACAAATTGTGATAACACAACAGACTGAATCCAGACATCTTCCTTTAAGCCAGATTTTGAAGAGATTTGCCAAATTGTGAAACAATGCCACTATTCTCTTTCCTTTGGAAAATTCTGTTTTATTAAAAAATATGTGGCATGTATTAACATGCACTGAGCTTACAGTTCTTAAAAGTGAATTAATAAATATTTATTTAAAAAATTTCTCTGTTTTAATTCCAATATAATGACTACCAATAGACATAACCCACATAAAGAAAAGTGCTTTGGGGTTTCTAATTTTAAAGCCTAAAGGGATCCCAAAAACAAAATTTTAAGAACTAGTGCTCTAGATTCTAACAAAAGAATATACTTACTTGTACATAGTGGGGGATCATCACTCCAAATCACTGTATTTTCGTTATGACTAAAAAGTTGACAATACAGAATACTTTTTCCAATTAACCGAAAACTAAATGAGAAAAGAAAAAGTTACTGGATTCTCTAGCAGTTAACAAGATGCATATAATAATGAAAAAAATTTTTACATGGTTGTTTCTTTATGCTACAGTAGTTTGCCATTTTTTTTTAAAGACTTTATTTATTTGACAGAGACAGACACAGCGAGAGAGGGAACACAAGCAGGGGGAGTGGGAGAGGGAGAAGCAGGCTTCCCGCTGAGCAGGGAGCCTGATGTGGGGCTCGATCCCAGGATCCTGGGACCACGACCTGAGCCGAAGGCAGACGCTTAACGACTGAGCCACCCAGGCGCCCTTCTACCAAACATTTAAAGAAGAACTAATACCTATGCTTCTCAAACCTTTCCAAAAAATTCAAGAGGGAAATCTTCCAAATTCATTATGAGATCAGCGTCAACATGATACCAAAACCAGACAAACACACTACAAGGAAATAAAGCTACAGACCAATATCTCTTATGAACAATGATGCAAATATCATCAAAAAATACTAAACAACAAAATTCTGCAGCATATTATACACCACGAACAAGCGAGATTTATTCTTGGCATACAAGGATGGTTCAACATGAAAAATGATCAATGTCATATGCCACACCAGCAGAATGGACAAAAACCACATCATCATCTCAAGTGATACAGAAAAAGCATTTGACAAAATTCAACACTCTTTCATGATAAATATACTCAATGAACTAGGAAGACAAGAAAACTATCTTAAGATAATAAGAGCCATTCATGAAAAACCCACAGCAAACATCATACTCAATGGTGAGAAGCTGGAAGCTTTACCTCTAAGATGAGGAGCAAGTCAAGCATGCCTGCTTTTACCAGTTCTATTCAACACAGTACTGGAAATTCTAGCCACAGCAGTTTGGCAAGAAAAAGAAATAAAAGACATCCAAAACATCCAAACTGGAAAGGAGGAAGTAAAATTAGCAGTTTGAAGATGATGTGATCTTCTCTGTAGAAAACCCTAAAGATTCCACCAGAACAAAAGTGTTAGTAGCATTAATAAATGAATTCAGCAAAGTAACAGGATACAAAGTAAGTATAAAAAAAAATCAGATGCGGGGCACCTGGGTGGCTCAGTTGCTCAGTGTCTGACTCTTGATTTGGGCTCAGATCATCAGCTCAGGGTTGTGAGATCAAGCCCTGCTTCCGGATCTGCACTGAGAGTGGAGCCTGCTTAAGATTCTCTCTCTCCCTCTCTTTCTGCCCCCCCCCCCCACAACTCACATGCATGCGCTCTCTCTCTCAAAAAAAAAAAAAAATCAGATACATTTCCATATTCTATTCCATTTATCCTCTAGGTGAACATTATCCATAAATGCCAAACATCCCCAATATATATTATTAAAAGAGCCCTACAGAACAAAGGCTGTTATTCTTAAGTGCTCAGTATCTCTTTTTGAAATACTTAAACTTTGAGAAAAAAAAAAAGAAATACTTAAACTTTGTAGCAGTCACAAATATCCAACTGACAAATCCTGATCAAGATAATGGTCCAGGCTAACCACCACGTGAATTTTGACGTGGTAACACCTTAGAATTATCTCAATATAAGACTATCTACAGTTGGCAATTCGACCTCCCATTTCTATAAGCCCAACATCAACTTTGAGAGTTGACCATTTTAAATAGGGTGCGCTTTGTTGTCAAAAATGAAGTCATCATTGTTAATGCTTATAATATGTTTATAGTAAATATTACAGCATTTTCCTTTTCTTCAATTTATATTTCTTTCTACTAATTACACATCGTCTCAGTTTCAATAAAAAGCCTGAGACTTGTTAGGCTATAAGTATAACTTGTCACATAAAACGAAAGAAATCAACTTTATGGGAACGCTTAAGAGAAGCAAAACAAAAATGGAATTAGTAGTATTTATCTTATTTCCTCTAAGGAACAACTTACCCCTCATTACAAGAGTAGTGAACCTGGGAACCAAAGATAAAAGATCCATTTACACCGACTACCTGGCCATTTAGAGGTTCTCCTGGATGTTGACATAATTTTTCTAAAAGAAAAATTAAATTCATTGTTTTACAGTGATTGCAAAACATCTCAAAATGTTTAAATGCTTAAATGTTTAAGTTAGCATATTTCATAGCAATTTCAAAACATTTAAATTAAAAATCAAAATTCTACATTGCTCTCCTGAATTCATGAGAGTGTTACTTTCTTTCTTTGACTACAAGGCCAAACTTAAGATTCACATTTAACCAGGTGACCAATTGCCAAGAACGATTCCCTGGAGATTTTTCAAAGCCTGAAAAACTACAAGCTATCTAAAACCTACATTCACATGAGAAAACAATCACTGCACTAGTGCAGTATGCAACCTAAAATGTGTGAACTCTCTAGAATAATTTAAAAAAAAAAGTTTTGTACACTTACCCGTACAAGCCTCGTCGAGAGGTGTCCATGTGTTATCAGGCTGACAAATGGAAAATTTGGAACGAAAAGGTATAATAAGCTTGTATCCTGGTCGACACTCGAAGTATACTCTGTCCCCAGGATTATAATTGGGTTTAGTAACATTTGGCCTCATAGAGATGTATCTCGGAGGAGGATCACAGGCATCTAGGAATAAAGAGAATGAGAACAAGAAAATGAAGTGTTTTATCTCCTTCCCCAACCAAGGACTATGGTTTCCCAGCAGATAGGTAATACAGAATAAACGGAAACATCCTTTGCAAGATTTTAAATGATTCTTCCATGCTTTTACCCAAGTGGTGACAGTAGTTGAGGATGTGCCTTGTTTATTTTCAGGAACATCCTACTAGGTTTTGATCTGTTCGGGAATAAGATGAATTTTCTTTCAACAATAAATGGAAGAAACAAAATCAATGGTTTAGGTCTTAACAATATTATGTAGATAAGCATCCTTTCCCACGTTTTTCTAAATTCATTTCAAAATACGCCTCTCCTCTAAAAAGCCTTCTGTAGTACACAGCACTCTGCTCTGATTACTCTTCCATAGTCTGAAACAAACTAATGATAACCTGTCACTTCAGGCTCAGTCTCCTCGTTGCAGAAGACAAGTTTCTAGAGGTCAGAGATCACAGGTCTTTTTCTACTGCACTCAGTACCCAGTGGGTACTTCAGAAATGCTAGAGTATCAGGTGATTATTAAATAGCATTATGTAGTTCATAGATCAAGATAAATACACACTAAGTCTTTAATATAAGACTTCATTTCATACTTCATATGAGTGAATTGAGCATCTCAAAAGTGAACAGACGCCACTTAAACATCAAAATTTACTATGAACAGCCTTACGAGAAAAAATGTTGCTTTGGGGGGCATTATTTTACATATAATTTCATCTTCCTCCACTGATCAATGGATCCCGCACTCCTTCAGCTAGAAATGGTATATAATTCCATGCTAGACAGAAATGCGTAACATCATTAGAAATCATGGAACCAAGAAAGAAATCAAGTAACAGCATGCCCCTGATTAAATAATACAAGTTTTCCTTGCTTTATGCATTCAATTTCAGTAACTATCTTGGAAGCTGATAAAGATAGAATTCCAAATATGACTTTCATATATAGTGATCTGTTCGGAAAAAGAAATGTCAGTTGGATGGTTTAACCATTCAACTAATTTGAAGTATTTCTTCTTCCTTGCATGTTCAATGTATAAGACATGCTTTCAAAAATGTGCAGAGTTTACAACTTGCTCTGTAAGCTTTATACACCATGATAATTGCACCCAATATCACACTGTTTTACAATAACATTGCTTCTCTTGCTCAGAACACTGATGTTTTTTATCCTCTGGCTACCCTTCCTTCTCTGCCCAACTGCATAATGTGATGTGCCTAATGGGTTGCTGGGGGAACTCTCGTTACTTCATTCTGCACATCCCTCTCGGTGAGTGTGTATACTCCCATGATCTCATTACCACTGAGAAGAGCTGCCTCCCAAATCCTGGTCTCCATGCTTGATCTCTAGCCAAGGTGCCGACTGTATATATTCAATTGCCTCCCCACACACCCGACATGCTATCTATATAATGTTTTGAAGCCAAAGTGTGGACTCTTGATTCTTCACACTCACACATGCCCAGCAAACAAGACAGATGGGTGCCTAAATTTTTGATTCTTGAATAATTAGCAAGCAGTGTTATATTAGTTTTCAGGTGTACAATAATAGTGATTCAGAAATTCTATATATTACTCAATAATCATCACAATAAATGTACTTTTAATCCCCTTCACATATTTCACCCATCCCCCCCACCATTCTCCCCTCTGGTAACCACCAGTTTGTTCGCTAAATTTAAGTGTCTGTTTTTTAGTTTATCTTTTTTCTTTGTTCATTTGTTTTGTTTCTAAGAAGTTCCAGATATGGGGGTGCCGGGTGGCTCAGTTGGTTAAGCGTCTGATTCTTGATTTCAGGTCATGTCATGATGTCAGTATCATGAGATCGAGCCTTGCATCAGGCTCTGTGCTGAGTGTGGAGTCTGCGTGAGATTCTTAATTCCTCTCCCTCACCCTAACCCTTCCACTTGTGCTTTCTCTCTTTTAAAAAAAAAAAAAAAATTCCATTATGCACGTTAAATCATATGGCATTTGTGTTTCTCTTACTGACTTATTTCATTTGGCATTATATCCTCTAGATCCATCCATGTTGCTGCAAATGGCAAAATTCCATTCCTTTTCATGGCTAAGTAATAGTCCAGTGTGTGTGTGTGTGTGCGCGCGCGCGTGTGTATACCACACCTTTATCCATTCATCTATTGATAGACCCTTGGGTTGCTTCCATATTTTGGCTATTTTAAATACTGATGCAATAAAAATAGCAGTACATATATCTTCTCAAATTAGTGTTTTCACATTCTCAGGATAAATACCCAGAATTACTATTTCTAAATTGGTAAGGAACCTCCATATGTTTTCCACAGTGGCTGCACTAGTTTGAATTCCCACCAACAGTGGACGAGAAGGCAGTTTATCCACATCTTTATGCTTTTGATTTTGCCCATTCTGACAAGTGGGAGGTGATATCTCACTGTGCTCCTGATATGCATTTCCCTGATGATGAGTGATACTGAGCAACCTTTGCATGAGTCTCTTGGCCGTTTGAATGTCTGTTCCTGTCTCCTGCCCATTTTAAATTAGATTAGCTGAGGTTTTTTGGTGTTGAGTTGACGAGAGACAGTCTTCACAACTCAAATGCCTGTTCCGTATCTCTAATTCTGCCTTTCCCTCCAGTTCAAACCACTGCCATTTCTTCTCTACAGTGCTACCAGCATCTCTGAACAGGCCCCCTTACCTACCTCACCACCTTTCCATTCATTTCATGTTTCACAATGCTGCCAGAGACACGTTGATAGGACACAGTGACCAAAGCTCTTCCAAGTCGGATACCTTTCAATGACTTCCCAACGCCCTCAGGACAATGTCTAGCGGACTTGTAAAGCCCATCACTATCAGGGCTCTGCTCACTCTTGCATCCTATTCTCAAGCCCTATTCAATTCCTGGCAGTGTCCATTAAATTACCTAAATTACAACAGCACTCCAGACCTCCCTGCATCATTTAACTTCAGCTTTGACCAGAGACCCCGCATTCCTCCCACCCTCCCACCCACTCATCCTCCAGTTTCAGCTGACGTGCCACTTCTGGTGGCTCTTGACATCTCTCACCAAAAAACTGGGTTAAGGGACACCTGGGTGGGCGCCTGGGTGGCTCAGTTAGTTAAGCAACTGCCTTCGGCTCAGGTCATGATCCTGGAGTCCCGGGATCGAGTCCCGCGTCGGGCTTCCTGCTCAGCGGGGAGTCTGCTTCTCCCTCTGACCCTCTTCCCTCTCGTGCTTTCTATCTCTCATTCTCTCTCTCTCTGAAATAAATAAATAAAATCTTTAAAAAAAAAAAAAAGGGACACCTGGGTGGTTCAGTGGGATAACCGTCTGCCTTAGGTTCAGGTCATGGTCCCAGGGTCCTGGGATCAAGCCCCTCATCGGGCTCCCTGCTCAGCGGGGAGCCTTCTTCTCTCTCTGCCTGCCACTCTCCCTGCTTCTGCTCTCTCTCTCTCTCTGACAAATAAATAAATAAAATCTCAAAAAAAAAAACAAACTGGGTTAAGTGTCCTCACGATCCCCATTTACTTCTTCCAAGACGACTCCACAGCGGTAGTCGTTATTGTTCCTACTCCCTACAAGACGGTTACCTTGAGGACCATGGGTGACACCTCACTGCACTTGTAATACCTAACAACAGAGCTGAATGAGCGCTCTTACCAGTTCCACACACTCTTAGACTAAAACTCAAATTCTTTTCTGCTCAGCCAACTTCTTCCAGAGATATCAGCAAATCGTAATTTTTTCTTGGTTGTCTTATGCCTGTCTTCAACTTTTCTTATTGGTTGAATGACAGCTCTTTCCCTTTAACAGAGTATCTGATTTCTTTCATGTCAAAGTATTTATGCTTTCTTGTTTTATTTTGAGCCCATTCTCCATCACTGCTATTGTTACAAACAGTACTTTAACATTATCAAAGGAGAACTCCAAATCATGGGGATTTTATTTTTTCCCAAGTACGGTAACCAAAGACTCTATGTCTTGTTTCTTAAACAATAGTGGTGATAGTATTTATCATTTTAGAAATAGCAAGCATCCAGTACTACCTCTACCATTATTTCAAGTACAATTTAACTTATCTTCATACTCATCCTATGAGTTGGGCATTATTTTCCCCTCTCTAAGGTGAGCCAACTAAGGCCCAGTAGGTTAAGTAACTTGCCCAAGCCAACATCTCCAGCAGCCAGCAGTCTGGGTCCACTACGGACACTGCTTCCCACCACACTCATCTGAAACCCTCCCATGCTGACACCACACCCTGCAATATTGTCCTCAAGAAATGGTCTTCTACTGAGTCTGCGGAAATTAAAGTAACCCCGGTTTAGATTTGCTATGTGCCAAGTCACACAAAAGGGCTCAAGTGCCCTGGAAGGACAGATAATAACATCATGTCTGGATTTTAATGATGGGGATTGTTCATTCCTGACTATCCTGTTGCTTTTCACAGTGATTCGCTCTTTGATCTAGTCCTTGGCCTTTCTCTTGCCTCGCCTGTCCTCCTGCTGCCACACTGGGTAGCTCCACAGTCCTTGAGAGCCCGCAGCCATGTCATATCTCTAAGCCTCTGATCACACTGCTCCCTTGGCTATGAACACCCTTCCTTCCTGCTCAGCTGCAAACCCTGCTCAACTCCTGTCTTCTTACATTGAATCCACTCAACTGCTCCTCTAGCAAGCACTGCCTGCTTCCCTGGGGAGGCAGTGCCCAGTCCCCTTCTCTTAGACTGTCCTCTGTGTGGATCTCTCAGTCACTATCACAAGTCATTGTGTTGACTAGTTCCCATGGCTGACTCCATTCACCCATGCAGCCATAACACCAAGCACAGCATGTCCATCAGAGAGGAGCTAGGCAAAACGATCTAGCACTCAAAAGAACACTGCAGTCAGAGAACACCACGGTCAAGAATATACTGTGATGCATCTAATCCTGAAAAGAATCACCTTTAAGCTTTATGCCCTGGAGAAAGATCTGGCCATGTAATTTCTTCTGTTGCCTATCTCCCAGTATTCTGGTTACCTAGCAATTGACCAGATAAGGACTGCTCTCTTTGCATGATAATATGTAGAGTAAGGACAGAAGAAATTACTCTGTAAGCACTTAGGGATCTATCATGGCTTCCTCCATTAGAGAGAAAGAAAAGGCCTAAAAAAGACACCACTCACAGCAGGAGATGGTGGGTTTTGTCCAAAAAGCAGACCCCTCTGGAAGAAGGAGACCGGTCCCGAATTGGACCAGTGTTCCCTTCTACCATCCCATGTAGCTGGCAACCACCGCTGAGATGGCAAGCCTCCAGGCACAACACTGTCTGCTTACAAACCTGCTTCTGAGCCTGGGAGCTGCTTCAAAACTCACATGTGTGTTCTAGCGCCAGATTTTCCCTGCCCGACAGAATGAGGCTCATTTGTACTTTCTCTTAATTTCATACCTATCCTGATTTTACCTTTGAACTCTCAACTTGGCCTTGTGTTTCCTTTTCTGCATTTCTGTTTTGTTACCTTCCATGTTGCACCCTATTCATTTCCTCTCTTCCAAACAACAGTCATGGTTTCCTTCAACTGTTGGCTCCAAGCCTGATCTAAACTTGATCCTTTTCTAAAACATTTTTCTGGTTTCTTTTATTGCCACTGGCCCCTCTCCACGCTACTCCCCCCACAGAAATGAACGTTTTGATGATCAGCAACAAGCAAGACTAGAGTATTGTGAGCCCTGCACACTCCACATAAACAGTGGAAGACAGAGCCTCTCTGACAGTCAGCTTCCCCTGACTGAGCTTAGGCACCACACAAAGGCCATCCTAAGGACGGGTGTTTAAAGAACCTTCCTCCTGGCAGCAGGAGGAATTTTTGCCGCCACTCTAAGTCCCAGCTTAATTACAGTGTATTATTTATATTTCACTTTCTGGTACTCAATAGTTATACAAGAGTGTTGACACTGGGCAAAAAACTGCAAATCTGGAAGCACAAGTGTGACAAGACAGAGGAGATCTCTGCATTCTAGTAGGGAGAGCAGAAGACAGTTTTGCAAGAGTGACTCCCAGTCAGGGGGGATTTGGGCTGGAGTGTGTGTGTATATCTGAGACAGGGTGGTCAGAGAGGGGCCTCCTGAGGGGGTGACATCTCAACTGGGCTTGAAGGGTAAGGAGCCTGACAGACAAGGGGCCGGAAGAGAATGTTCCAAGTCTGAGGGACTAGTAAGTACAGAAGCCCCACAGAGGCAGAGTTTGGTCTATTCAGTAAGAGAAATTGCCCCGGCCCCTAGTCATTGTTAAAGGCTATCAGAGAATCAAGCTCCTTTCCTCCAGAACACTTGTCTCGGGTTCTAACGTATTTGTTCATAGCATGTTTTGATTTGTCTGCCACTCCCCATAAATTTTAGCAACGATTTCTCGACTGCCACTGTGTGCCTGGCACTGGGGTTCTAAGGGAGCAAAACAGTTTCTGTTTCTACTTGTGTGAGTGGAAGCAGATCAATAGTGAAATCAGGATCATAAAAATGGGAAAGTTTTGTGATCACTCACCAGTGTATCCTCAGGACCAGCATAGAACCCCGCACACAGAAGGCAAATATGTGTTGAATGAATGCTACTAAGGAAAGAATGCAGCATACAAATTGTATATGTAATAGGATCCTAGAAATAACTTGGGCAGAAAAACATAGGTGCAGATAAAGACAGAAAGAAATATACCAAAGTACTGAAAATGGTTGTCTTTTCATTGTAAATGTGTTACACAACAAGCATGTCTTCTTTAGTGCATATATATATATATGTATATATATAATAAACACTAATTCTTATTCAGTGAACACTGAACAAATTTAATGGTTGGGGGCCTTCAGGCCTTCAGTTTCCCTCAATGGGTGTAAGGGAAAACCGGATTGACATTATTTACCGTGTATTTCTTAGGATACTCATTTGTCAGTAAGCTACCAATGCTTTTAAGATTAATTCAGAATTCCCCTCAAATATGACCCACCCTTATGAAAACAAGGAATACAATGGCAAAAAGCCATTAGGTAATGGAATTGGATAACGTCTCTTGGATGGAAACAGGAAGATGATTCTATGTCCAGAAAAAAAAAAAAAACTGAAAGAGGAACACCCTGTAAACCAACACCAATATGATCTTGGACAACAAGGTGACTGTTGCCTTTAGTTACAAAAAGCAAGGTGTGGCCTTCCCAAACCCTCTAAGCCCCAGGGGCCCGCAGCATGCTTGCACCCGGAGCCCACACTCACCCAAGCGCCGCACAGCCACACGCGATCCCCAACCCCCAGTAAAGCAAAGGGTGAGCTTCCTTACCCCACACCCACCACCACAAGCCTGGTTAGTTCCGTAAACCACACACCCGGTAACACCCAGCCCGGCACAAACAACCCCCCTCTCCCCAAGGCCATCACCCCTCCAGGGAACACAGGACAAACTTCCCCACCGGCACGCCGCGGATCCCAGCAACAGCCACACGCACTGGGGACGGAGACCAAGCCGTCACCCCAAGCCCCGAGTCCGCGCTCCCCTGCCCCTAGGTGCCTCAGTCCGGAAGCACACTTCAAGCACTCGCTGTGGTCACAGTTCCGCCAGGGGAAAACACCAGCCGCGCGCAACACCCGCAGGGCTCACTGCCAAACGCCTCGCAAGCCCTCAACTCCGGCCCCACAGGGCCCACACGCCCTGGGTACCCGCATAGCACGACGGGGCCGCCCCAGCGCCGCACCTACTCCCGACCCGCCAAGCAAAGCTCCTGGGCCCTGGGCCCCGTCCGCCTCCTCCCCGGCCCACTCCAGCGCGCCGCCAAAGCGCACACCCTCTCCAGGCTCTTACCAGAGGGCATGGGTATCAGGAGCACTGAGGCCATCAAAGGGATCCCAAAACAACACAAAAAAGAAAAGCGCTTCTCGAGGCAGCAGCGATGGGCTGTGCGCGGCGCGCAGGACGCCGTCATCTTGCAGGAGACCAGCGGGAACCTCAGAGCCCGCCAAGCCCTCACACCGTCTCAGGACCCGGAAAAAGGACGCAACAATCCCCCAGGGCCCGGAGGTAAGGAATCACCCGCGGGGGCGTGGCCTGACCAGTGCTTGGGCGGAAGTGGCGCGCCCGGAGGCGGGGCCTGAGCGCGGGGTCCACAGGCCTCCCTGATCCGGCTTGGGCCTGCGGGGTTCGCCCCGCCGGGTCGTGGAGCTGCTCGGTCCCCTCCCGCGGGCGCCGGGCGTCCCTGCGACGATCCCGACTGCACGCCGACCCGAGGTCCCCGGCGGCTTGCGGCGCTCGGCCGCCTCACCGCCCGGACTCTGGAAGGGTGGGAAGGAAAGCAGAGCTGGCGGGGTCATCTTCGTCCCTTTTCCGGAACGGAGCGCCGCACTGAGCGAAAAGCGCAGCGACCTGAAACTACTAACCCAAGGCCCAGGCAGCGGGTCGTCGTGGGGCCGCATCCCTCGCGGCTCCAGTGTGTCGTGGGGCACTCCGCCCTGCCCGAACTCCCTGGGCCCTTGTTTCAAGAGTTGGCATTAATCGGGCCTCTTGAGGGACAAAACTTGTGATTTCCGTGGCTCAGCATCTGCTCTTGGATCCTCTCGAGGCCTGCTAGATTTCAGAATCTCAAAGGTTTGGCCACTGCACTCCCAACCCCTAAAGTAAAGCAAGGTAGATGAATTATTGAACAACACCGAACCATTAGCATTTGGGGCTTCACCTCTCTGAGTTGGCCCTTAGCAACTAAATGCTTTACTGAGGGGGGCAAAAAATAAGCATGAAAAAGGTAAGGACAAGGGTGTATGAATTGCCAATCTCCTGGAAGTCCTTAAAGCCATTATTGTCGGGATGGAGAGGGACCCATAAGAGGCAGAACTTTTCTGGTGAAACAGTCTCTCAATGGAAAATCAAGTGGAGAATTAAGAATGAGCCAGATCTGTTTGTAGAGTTGTGATTAAACCTGTATGACTAGTAAGAGGAAAAAAGTCACATGACCTGTATTAAAAGAGTACACAGAAGGAATTGACATTTTCTTCCCATTAGCAGGCAAAGAATGATAATTGTCAACCAATGTGAGTAAACATATTGGGCGGGACCAACACCCTCAAACTTTTTGGCTTTTAATTGAACTTTTCCATCTGTTAAGTTTTTTAAATGGCCATGACTTTTAAACCACCAGTTCCATTTGGAATTTATCCCAAAGAAATCATCAGAGCTGTGACCAAAGATGTATAACTTTGGAAAAAAAAAATAAATCCTAAGTGTCTAGCCAAAGTATAAGGAATTTTTGGTAGGTGGCTTTATGGTATGAATGTCTATGTAGCAAGCAGTGTAAAAGAGTCTATGTGAGAAACTGATACATATGTAAGTGGAAAAAGATTCCAAATCAGTATGTGCTTTTTGGTATTTCTTTAGTACGGTAAAAGTAGTATATTGATACACGTAAAAAGAGTTGGAGTATACCAAAATTATCTAATACTTCATAGGATTATGGATATTTCATTTTCTTTGTATTTTCCAATTTTCTATAGTGACCTTATGTTACATTTGCAATCAGGTAAGGAAAAAATTATATTTCAACTGCTACAGTTTTCAAAGAAAACAAACCTGCATCATACAGAGTAAGGTATGAGAGGATGGGAAGGAAATGTAAGCTCTCTGTATAAACTTCAGATTCATATTCTGGAATTACTAATCTCTCTATATCTTTAAAATTTTGTATCTGAAATGTACTGAAGACATTCTGGAATTGACTCTTCCAGATTCTGGGTATAGCATGTATGACACAAAGTTGTGCATTGATATATAAAATAAACACCTTAGTATCTTGGATTATAAAAAAACTTATGGGGACAACCTAGGCAAAAGAAAAAAAATTAAACTTTCTTATAGCTTACAGCCCATTGACAAGTGCTTGGGACAGGCAGGATGACCTTTCTCCAAGATCTCAACTCCCTCAATGTAATACTTTGCTAGAGGCAAAAGGCAGCCTTAGCTCCCGGAAGTCCAGGATCCTGTTAAGTCTTCTTTAACATACGAAAATTCCCTCAGAAACTTCCTTTATCTCTCTCCCCCACCCAAGATACATGTTAGCAATCGCCTTCTAAGCATATGGCCGATTGATATACATCTGAAGGGTCTCATGACTAAGGTTTTACTAGACAGTATAAATGACCTTATCCTAACAACAGCTAGCCTCCTCAAGGTCCTGAAAAACCTTGCTTCTAAATTCCTTAGAGACTTATGCTATACCTAACTGCCCCCCTGCCCCCGCCCACCTGGAAAGTATATAATCAGTCACTCCTCACAATCCCAGTGCAGTACTTTGTGCCCAGGGGTCCTGTCCTCGTGGTTTCATAAAAGGACCTTTTTGGCACCACAGACCTCTTAATTCTTTTGTGACCATTCATTCCCGAACCCCAACGTTTCCAACAAAAACCATACACTGTGATGACGCTTAGTTGAAGGAGGTATAATTAAGGAGACACTGGAAACTCAATGAGGGGGAATTATCATTCTGTGGATTCTTAGAATTTTAAGAGTGAGAGAACAGAAATACTCTGTGGATCAATGTTGACACTTATTGTGAAAACAATCTATTGTTCTCTGCAACCGTCTGTGTACTTTGTGTACAAAGGCATATGTCAGTTACATCTCAATAAGATGAAAACATTTTCCCGTCTATTTCTATCCCTAAAACTTTTTTTCCCCAAAGATGGGAGAATACATGTTTGGGTTCCTAGTTACACAAGCTAGATTAGAGTCAAGAATTGGGGTTTTACTGGAACTTTCCTTCAATCAGTAAAATCTCTACCTGGGGTTCATCAGGCCACTGTAAATATAACTGGAGAATTTCACATTGATTAATTTATTTTCATCTGCCCCAATTATGGCTCCATTGGAAAGGTTCTGAGTCCTGTTCACTATTTTTCTGGACAAGCTCCATGAGACAGGGATAGAGTTTTCTTGCTGTAGCTCCCGTTCTAGGTCTGTAGTAGGTACATAATAAATGCCTCTGAATACTGCATGAAATAAATGGCTCTTGCTGTCAAGTGCATCTAACATGTCTCTGCCAGTTCTCCCCCAGCATGGATTTACCAAATAAGTGCTGAGAGATTTTGTTTTAATCCTCTTAGACACTAGGAACAAGGTGTGCTTTGTGTCTGAAGGAGGAAGCTACGACTGTCTGCACAGAAAACGTTCCTGTATCAGCAGTGCAAGCTCTGATAGGAGGTGGAGCTACTGTCTGTCACTTAGCCCTGAGATCATTTTAGTGACTTAGTTCAAAGGGAAAGTGTTGACAATGAACATCCTGTAGCCTGGACAGGAATAGAAGTCAAGAATCAAGGCTTTGAGTGAGGTAGGGGAGTAAAGGCTCATGGTGCCTGCAACCCCCCCTAAAGATTTTGTCACACTGCCAAAGTGACAAAGAGGAGAGCATGGAGAATATGCCTCTGTCGACCAGGTTTTGAGCTATGTGCTAGATCTCCTTTAAGGCTTTATGAATGGCACTAGGGTGCAGGTAGGTGTGTGGGGATGTCATTAAACGGAGGCCAGCTTCTGTAAAATAAATCTTAATGTTAGATGATTCTAAATTAGTATATTTCCATCATGCTTCTCAGAGGTGGGGGTAGCAGCATGAATGGGCCTGTGAGTACTCTCAGAAAAGGCTTTCCGCTGTCATGGTGAATGACACACAAGGTTTGCTGTGAAAAGCTGAAAGAGAATGGCTACACAGAGCATAGGGAAGTCATCTTTTTGCTGTTGGCCCTGGGTGCTGTGCCACCTCGGTCTGTACCTGGTAAGCACCTGCCAGCCAGCTGACCTTCCTAGTTAGCTGTTACTGGCAGGAACGTTCCAGCGGGAAGCTGCATCCTACACAGGGATTCTGAAACCATTAAGTACAGAGGGGAGGACACTTCTCAGAAGGAATGCATATTCATTTTGTTTTCTCTTGGCTTTTGGAGGCTTTAAAAAGTAAATATATTACAAACCATATTCCAGACATAGATTTAGAAAGAAAAAATCTTTTATTCCTTTGCCATTATAGTGATGGAGACAGAACATTTTATTTAAATGTCATAGTCTTGAACTTACACCTCACGCTTACGTGTACACAAAAAGGAAACGAGAAAAAAAATTAGATTGTTAGCACTATGAATGCCTTTGGAGACCTGTTGGTCCAGCCCTGCTCTTCAGATGAAAAATGTAAGGCCAGAGGTTAACAGAATTACTCAACAATACAAATGAAGTTAGACAATTCAGTATTTTACCCATAGTTAGTATAAACAGTATTTCCCATGTATCACTGATGTCACAGGCAAAAAATCTCATGAATTTCTTGAGATTCAATGTCCCGGGCGTCAGATGCTGGTTAATCGCACTACTCACTGACCTACTGCATTATGGGGGGAAAAGAGGAATTTACATTTTTTTCTTATGATAGGAAATTTTAATTCTAAGAAAGGCCAATTCCCAACAAATAATTTCTAGCCCTCCTTTAAAATGTACTTCTTCAGAAACTCAAGACCTAATAGATTTCCCTAAGTTTCAACTAAGCAAAACCATTGAGGATCTTTTGATATATTCATGGGTTACTTGCCTTTCTTTTATTGGAGGCCTGGTTGGATATCCTTTACCCACTTACAGGGAGGTGGGGTGGGGAGGGTTGGTCTTTGAATTTTTAACTCTAAATATGCCAATTACCCTTGTTCACAATATAAGTTGTAATTTTTTCTTCCTAGTTTGCCAGTTGACTTTGCTTATGCTGTTTTCTCCCTTTCTTCCATGATTTTAAAGAAAACTTCAAGTTGATGTCCAGTTCACTCTTTATATTTACCAAGGTAAGTGTGGCACAGTATACCCTAAAAGCAACTTAAAACCCAGAATTACACAGTAGTTAGCAGTCGTCATATGCAAATCTGTTGTCAAATATCCAGAAAGATTCTGGTATTTTCTAGATCATTAGCATGG